GCCAATAATCTCAAACATTCCAGAAACTTCACATGATGTTTACTTTACACATCCGTGGAATTCACATCATAAACCTCATAATACGTGATCATACAACATGTCTACAACATCATCGCCACATCTCTTACAAACAGCCAGTATGTGTATTTTATCATTGATTATTGGTTAATACATTTTTAATTAGCGGGGCTGGGATTTTGGTGATACAAAGTGTCAAAAAGACACTTTCGACAGCCTGAGATCCACGCACTTGTTCAAATTCAGGGTTGGCAATAACGGAGAACATGACAGTATTTTCACTGCATCTTGGAGCAAGTTCAGGTTGAGGACCATCAGTCGACTTATGGTTGATTTTATTTGTGGTGTGACTTACGCCTGCGCACTAGTAATAGTAGCAACGTGTGAACGCTTCTAGTCAATTCGCTGGTAAAAATGTCATCACAAAACTTCTTAATCCTAACTCCCTGTTATTGGATATTGGTGGTAAGCAACAATGAAACCATGCCCCACGGTCCACTTCCAAAAAGTCGACTTCGACTCAATAAAAAGCAGTCCAACCATTAGCATTCGAGTGAAGTTAGTCAAATCATGGTTAACCGTAGTCCTCACCCGAACTCGTTCTTGGTGAAGGGTTAGGTATGTAAATAGTATTTCATAAACTTACAGTAGGACACACATGTATACACACATCTTTGCATACAGCGTCCTTCAAGGTTCTCAGCCTAGAGCCAGTAATTTAATAGTCTTAGTCACAGCCAGATGGTCCTTATGATGTGCACTTAAACCATTGACGTCACACTATTGTTAAAAGTGTGGATTCCGAACTATGAATATGTTACACTGGTCACAAAGTGTGGATTTGGAACGTTCAACGAATCTTTAGTAAAGTGTGGATTTGGACAATTGTTCTCCATAATGAGCATTAATATGACCATCTGCATGAAAAATTTCCTTTTCGAAAATTACTAATGCATCTTCATTGTCAGATTCTCCGCCGTCACTGCAAAAACTACTTTGAGTCAGAAAGAAATCATCGTCTGAACTATCCATGTTGACGTAAGGAACCTACACAAAAAATGACTAGGTTGTACGGGTGTAGCGATACACATGCTAAACATGCCACAATGCTTGATTACGCATAAGAGCCTCGAAAAACTCCCTTGTAAATTACCCTAATGGCCACAACTCGACACGAGATATGCAAGTCTTTTCATCTCCACTCACTGGACTATAAATGACAATTTTCTCTTGACGCAATGGTTCAAGTTAAAGAATACACTCACAAGCGTGGATTCTTAATTTACAAATTCGGCGCTTTGCGCCGAGTGAATTCTTTCGGCGCTTCATGCCTCGTGAATTCTTAAATTACGAATCCACACTTTCTCGTGTATTCTCCTTAACTACATGTAAATAAGGCCAGTTCATACATTTGTACTTAGCGCAAACGCGAATTTGTGACATCAGGGCAAGTTTTTGTGCTGAAAATTCGCAAAAGTTGAACACTTTTTAACTCTGGCGAATTTCGTAGCGAATGCATCGTGACATCAAATTCGCATCACATTTGCATTAACCAGCCTCTGCACATCAAAATAGCACAGCCAGCTTACAAAATAATGTTTATTTTTGAGTTTCTAAGCTAAGTTATGAGATGTACTAGTATTGAGCGACATTGCTTGTCAAAACTGCTTGTTGTAGCAAGGCTCAAGCAGCTGAAAACTGTTTTGAGTGAAAAAAAAAACAGAGGCGCTTGTCATGACACAATCATCCGGTCCCTGCCAAATGTTACAAATAAACAGCTGCCTCTCCGATGTGTGACATTTGACTGAAGAATCATAGTATTTTTAGTTTGGAAAGTTGTAAATTGTTAACACGACACTGAGCTTTACAATTTTAATGTTGATTACAAAACAAATCTACAAACTAATAAATTATTATTATATTACTATATTCTCTTCATCAAAGTTGCATACCCCATGCTCTTGAACAAAATGGATTTTTTTTTTCTCCTAACAAATTTTCAATTTGTTTTGTATTGTGTTTTAACAAAAAAATAGTTTTTTCCAATTTTTGGTGTCTAACCCTCTGAAAAAGGCATTCATGTTGCGCACATAGGCCTACATTGTATGAACTCACACAAGAGAGCCGAATTATTGTCCGACAGCCAAAAATTCAAATTTTGGAAGAAATAAAGAACTAATTACCGGCCGGTGTACTTTTTCGTGCGATGTACCTTTCAAAAGTACATGTACATACATGTAACTTTTATATTGCTAGGAAAAGAGCGATTGAATAAAAAAAAAATCTATTTTTTAGGTGAAACCCTAAAATAGCTTGAGGAACGCATCTTCAAAACAATATCACTTATGGATGTCATTAAATGTAAATTATATGCATCGGTACATAATTTGTAATTGATGTAAATTTACACACACACAAAAACATGTACACACAGTCGTTTTTTGCTATGCTTCTGAGGATTGGCTTTGTGTTTTCCTTTGTCCCTGTAATATAACACTCTCCCATAGACTAAGCACACAAACCTGCGTTCGAGGACAATAGGCACCTTCCTTCGAGGATCAATGGCCCCTTTGTGCTCCTTTTGTTGTCTGTCCTCAGGCGTAATGCCATGCAGGAACACAGGTACACGTAAGCAGGCCGTCACCGCGTTATGGGGAAATTTTTTTATTGTTAGGCGAATTAAGACCTAGTTGTGGGGACTTTCTGCTGTCCCCACAGCGTCTTCGGTCCCCATAGTACCATGGCACAACTCGTGTGTAGTCCCCACAACTACGGAATAAGTATGCGTTAAGTACGTGATGTATGCAAATACAAAGTTGATTTGACCTTCACCAACAGCCAACCCAAACTCTATGCAGACCAACAACAATGCCCACACATTTCCACCCATTGTTAGATTGAAGGACCCTCTATTCAGTCACAGGCATCTGTGCACAGACAGGTGTAGCATTGTAATTTTACTGGACACAATGCACAGCATCAGGTGTGGAGAAAGGCCATTGGGTTTGATGGGGGTATTTTTCAAAAAAAGAAATCAGACAAATGTAGAAAAAAAAAGTACAATCAGTAAGTGAGTGAAAGGTAGTTGGTAGACCGCGCTAAATGCTCATTGTGTGCAAGTGCAGTGTTCACCGGTGCTACACATGTATGTAGATCAAAAGAGTTTTTTATAATTTGTGTAGCACTCCCAAAATTATGACCTTGCTTCATTTACATGTAAATCAATTAACAATTGGGGGGGGGGGAAGTACATGTAGTGTGTACTAGTATTATAACACTTTTTATAGTAGTTCTCACTGGCCTTTATTTTGTGGAAGGATTTTGCAAGCATTATGACTTTGGAAAGTCATGACAACTGTGAAAGTTTTGACTGATTGCTTATTATGTACATGAACAAATAACTTAAACTTGGGCGGCTTCACCTAACTTTCCCTTTCTGGTTCATTTGAAAATATTAGAATTTACGTTAAATAAATGATCCTCAGAATCATGAGCCATACCATCATTTAATTGCTTACAAAGCAAGAGAGTAAATGCAAGTTCCATTGACACCAACAGAATTTGCCATACATGTCATCAACAAATGACATTTAAAGGAACAGAAAGTGAAGGAACAACAAATTGGAATTTTTGTCTATCAACAAGCTCAAATCCAAATCCCACAGCGTGCAACAGACCCAAAAATTGATAGTGCTTTCTAATGCAGGTGCCTTCTAGTTCTAGAAGTAATGGGGTACATCCAGAACTAGGAAAAGTGGCATCAGCACTTTTGACGTCGCATATTCAAATTAAAAATTAAAATTAAACTTTGCAAAACCAATTTCACTAGAATACTTGGATTTGTTGAGCCGAAAGCAGCCTAAATGATGTTTGCGATCTAGAACTAGGAAAAAGACTAAAAGTAAAGTGTAATAATAATTATGATAAACAAATGAGAACTTTAAAATGGAATGAATTCCCTACTTGAGTGCCTTGTGAGTTACTTTGTGATTTTAATCAAGACAAATCCAGGAAGCTCTGTAAATGTGAGTAAATGTCGTGAAAAAGTGTTTTTAGAACACATTTTGGATGCACACATCGTTGGACAGCAGACATTGTGGGCAGCCATATTGACAATCATAATGATTGAAGAGTCTAGTAAAGTCTAGCGGTGCGCATGACATCGACAACGCGTCAGCCAATGACAGTGCAATACCTCATTACAAATGTTTAATTTCTCATGAATATATGGTTTATTAAATATTCATGAGTCTTATTTCAATGGATACGTTAAATAGGTCCAAAGACACCACTGTAACAAGCGCGCTCACGACCTGGCTGTTAGAGTGGGTGTGTTTTAAAGAAGACAGTCCGAGGATCGATTTTCGATGGATCTCCGTGAAGTAAGTTACTAATTAATAAGAAGAACAGAAGAAAGGAAAAGGTGACAGTCGAGGAGGGAGAGTGGGGGAAATAATCATATAGGAAGCAACTTTTTTGGCGCTTGAAAATTAATTGAAAAAAAGTGGATCCGAGTACGCAATTCTTTCCCTTTAAAATGAAATAGCCCAGGCTAGTCATCAAATTCTCAAACCCCAAACATAGTCCTCTACATAGACTCAATTATGTATGAGAGTCGTGCTTTAATAAAATCAAAGGAAAGAGTGTTGCATCCTTACGCTACTCCCACTTAATCAATGACAATGAAAGTCAGTCATTGCAAAAATGTTGAAAAACATGAATCCGGGACTGAGAAACATTTCCAATTTTGTTAGAATTTATACTAGAATAGAAAATACCTCGAAAATGCACTCAACTTTGTACACATAGTGGCGTCAGGATACTGCATTCTTTCCAAATCAGAAATCACCATTCCACTGTTCGGAGCACTACTGCCACTAGGCAAACACTGAAACTAAAACTAAAGCAACACCGCTACCAAACATGCCAAATTTAAGTTACTGCATTCATGACGTTAGGCCTAAAATTAAAAATGTACTCACACAACCAGGCGAGATATCAAGTAGGAAACCATTCTCGGAGATTTCGCTGCTTGGCTAAAGTTTAAACCTCTACTTGCAGCTTAACTATAACGGCGATGAATACAGACAGAGAATCAACTGGCCGGGTTCACTTTTTAAAATCAGTTTACCGAACCTCTCGATCAGCTGGGTTTCGTAGCCATCCTCAAAACAGTAAAAATTGTACTCGACGGTTTGTTTTGATTACGTTGTTCATGTTTGATTTTGTTACGTCCGCTAAATTCCCAAATAGCGCCATCAACGTCACATAGTTAATCACTTTCAAATTTATATTGTCAGAGAGGGCGCGCTTTCATTCACCGTAATTTTTGTCTTGTCAAAGCGAAAAGGAAAATGTACCAATGCAGCTTTTTTAGACGACCGATAGAGGGGGTATCAGTTTTCCCCAAAAAATTACTTCTTTCAGCCATCATCATGCAAATCTTTTTCCTTTCATGGTACACAAATATACACTTTTTCAAAAATTGACTACTTTCAGTTTGTTTATATTCCTGTGCATGCAAAGCATTTTGCTGGATCTCGTGCAGTTTCGACATTTCAGTTCACTAAAACTGCATATTTTGGGAAGAAAATTGCTATTCATGTATAAACCATTTTTTTTTAAACAACAAAAACACCAAACAAAAATGCACTTCTTTCAAACATTTAAATTGTCCATGTTTTTCTTGACAACTGAAGGCGCTGTTGCTGTGATGTCATTTCATAATTCAAGAAGGCACTGTTCCGTTTAGGGGGTTTCGGTTTGTGAGAAAAGTTTGCTAATTGTCTTACTGCCATTGTATTGACACAAGAACGAATCACCAAAGAAAAGAAAATTTACTGTAAGTCAGCTGTCTCCCCGAAAACACCTCGGGAATGAGCTTTGCTTTCTGACCTGCTAATCACCAGGGATTTTCTATCGTAACGTCGATATTACCAGTGGCGGGAGCCACCCCCCCCCTCCCCCTCCCCTGGCAATGACGGAACTTTTCTCAAATAAGGCAATTTTTCACTTGTGAGAGCCCTTCCGGCTGCCTCCGGCAGAGCCTCAGCCCCCCTCCCTCCCCAGAAATAACCTCGCTGGAACCGAATCCCCTAATTTAACCCCGAATGTATTTATTTAGTTATCTATGGATGTTTTTCTGTCTGCTATTGCTAAATTGCCCTTTCTTTTTCAAAGCAATGCAAAAGTTATTCACTTCTTAATCAGAAATCGAAAGAAAAACAAAAGCAACTGTGGCCACATACGTAACGTTATGGAATAATTCGGCCAACTCTTAAAAAATTTAAATCATTTTACGGCCCGGTGTGTTGGAGGTGCGAAGGCAACCCCCAAAACACCCCCTTTTTTAAGATGCTTGCAGACGCCTGTACAAGATAAGAAGGAAAACACGTTTTGGGGGGGTTAAACAAAAAATTGAAGTCCGTTTGGAAAAATAAAAATAAAACTAATTTATTGAGCACGGAAAGAGTAACATTAATGTTTAATATACACCTACTTTAGTTGGTGAAGAAAACACAATGATGTTTGTCTCTCAATTTGATTTCACCCTTTCTGTGGATATGTTATTCGTATAGTTCGCAGGATCGTTGCCCTTGCCTTGTTACATCTACTAATGCCACAGGGAAGGGCTTTCACAGATAGGTCACGTGATTAACACCCTCCACCAAAAAAATCCTTATGATCCATCAAGAAAAACAAAGCTATCAAAAAAGAAGAAGAAACGTCAAGTATTCACCTGTTGATGTGTGATGCAGTCGACCACCCCCCCCCCCCCCCGCCCCACAACCCATTGGATTTGGGCAATTGATAGTCTGATTGACGCTCATCGAGTTTATTTCAAATAAAAAAGAGACACCATTATGCTTTGCCCTCTCATGGGCACCGTAGTGCTTTTACGCAGGTTGTACTTGTGGAGAAAACGCACGCACTGGTCTTTCGTTTTGAGCATTGGGAAGTGTTTGTTGGGGACGGTCTTAAAAAATGTTGAAGCACGAAACCAGGCAACGCATTTCAGAATCCAATAACATTATCAATATCATAGAAAAGAAAAGGCATTTAACATAACTGGTGGGTTTCAACCCAAGCTGTCCATGCATGGACACGCAACTCTTATAATATTGTGAATTTTATCGAGGGAGGGAGTGGGGATGGGGGTACCGGATGGGGGTTGAGATGGGGTGGGTGGGGGGGGGGGGGGGGGGGGGCTTGCCCAGTACCTAAGCCAAATGTGCAGATACACGTACTTTAAACATTGGAATACTTAAAAGATCAGAATATAATGGCAACCGTGCCCAATCTGGATTTGCAAACTGATAACATTGAGATATTTTTTTCTTAATATTTAAAACAAAATGGCCTTTCTTGGAAGAAAGAAGTGGTTGATTTTTTCTTCTTAGTGTTATTTTTGTTAAATTTATTTTTTATTTGCTTCGGTACTGCTTACTTGTTTTTTTTTTTACAAAATATTTTGCCCCCCCCCCCCCCCCCCCCCGTGCGCCCCTCTCCCCCTGTCTTCTTAGAATGTTTGAAAGTTACTATTCAATTTGTGTACTATTAAAAACCTATTCAGAGTCTTTTCCTGAAAATGATGCCCCGGCCCCAATTCCCCCGCCCCCAGCCCTGCAAATAGAAACCCATTTATGTCACTGGTGAAACAAATGGGCTTTCAGAAATGTTATTAATCATGTGTGACTTAATTACTGCACTGCGTTCACACCCGTACCTACGATCGTTTTAGGTCCATACAAGCCGTGTGGGGGTACATGTATAATTATTATCCATGGCTCTTTATTTATTAACTCCTTTATGCCTGAAATCATAACTGACAGTAGCTTTCCGATGCTGTTTTTCGAGTTTCACCCCAAAACATATATTTTTTTTAATTGCTATTTTTTTTCTAGTAATTCATTCTGGCAATACTGGCATATTCATTTTTGAATGAGACATTGAACAAACAAGTCCGCCCACGTTTAATTATTAAATAATTGCTTTAAAAATTCGAATTAGTTGCAGCCCGACAATAACCGCGGCGCATTTATTTATTATTATTATTATTTTTATATGTTTTTTTTTAGTAGTAGTTTTGAGTTTAAATAAAACGTGCAAATAAAAACGTTTGTTACGAGAGAAAAAAAAATGACTATGCTGAAAAGAGCACGGGCCCCGGCCCCAGCCAAATAAATTCAGCGCAATAAAATTAAAAGCGATGATCAGCCACTAGTAAAATTACACTTTTAATTATTTAAACTGACTATAAAAGCGCACAAATTTATAATTTTGACACGGAACATCTGCCATGCATACTGTAAAATTGTCTCCTGAATACATGATTGTCACAACTTTGCCATGAAAACAAATCTTCCTGGCGTTCACCGCAAACTGTGTCAATTTATTTCTGCATGAAAGCGGGGAAAACATGAGAAGTCACATGTCAGTATCCAAACGTGCTAGCTGAATGAATGAAATGATACTCCGACATGATGACATCATCAAGCGCGCAAACTTGAATCCACAAATGTACTACTTTTCTATGAAGAAACGAGTTTTTCATCAAAACAACAAGTGCACCTTCACCTTTTGACCTCTGTAGGGCCAAATCTCATCGAGTTAATATTCATGCGCACTACTACATGGAAACTCCTGCAGGCATCCTGCGCGTGTAGTGGACTGTCTGTACCGAGATTACACTAAAATTTCGCCGTTTTTCGCCATTTTTGGACAGAAATGTGAGGTGACCACTCCAGCATGGGAATAGAATATCGCGAGGAACTTGTTGGCAAGCGATTCCTCTGCGTCAACGGCCCGGGCAAATTGAAATTGGGCAAAATTTCCGAGTGGGGTTGGCGAGCCGGAGTGATACGCGCTGTACTGGATAACGGTAACAAGGATGCAGGCGATGAGGAATGCACGGTAAGTGGAAAGCCGCATTCTCGGCGTTTTGACCCCTTGTTTTGTTGTTTAAAATCCCTTGTTTCCATTGCTAGGATACAATGACAACCCATCGGAAATGAACTCCAATAGATGTTAATTACTTCTGTGACAAAGATTCAATGATTGTTCGCTTTTGTCGATTTTTTTGGGGCCTTCTGAAGAGTGTCCGGACATGCCGGCTTTTTCTAGCCCGCGCTTTGCGGTGTGTCCACGGGGCGCTGCGGCCTGCATGCTTGCTCGGCGTGTGGCCGTTGTGGTCATTGTGAGCGTCGATTTCGCCATGGCTTGAGTACAAAAGCTGAGTAATTTGTCATTCAAACGCCACTTTGTCGGTTATGTACAAAGTCTATGGGTAATCACAGACATTTAATTAAGTATTTTCTGATAGATTTGGAAATGTTTCACATGTTTTCAACGTATACATTTTATATATTTGGTAGGCCTTTGGTTCAATTTTGTATACATGTGTAATGATGACCATAACGACTGACCATCTTTGAGGTTTTATAAAGCAACAAATGACATCAGAATACTGCATTCATACTGCCTTTTGCTGGTACAAATATGCAACAGTCGGTGCCAAAATTAAGTCCTTTTTATCTGTAGGTGATTAAAAAAAAAATTAAACTAAAACAGATCAGCATGATCAGTCGGTCTTGACAAATGTTCTCCATAATCATGATAATCATGTAATGTACAGTGGTATTGTAAGTATAACGTTTATGAAATAAAGACTTAAATAGGTATGGAATTGTAAATAAGGAAATTTCACTCTGAAGAAGATCAAATAATTCAAAGTTTCATAGCAACCCAAAAAGCAAGTAAGACCAATTGAGCATGTAGCACTTAATGTTTAAATTAAAAGTCAGACAAAAAATGGACTAAAAAGGGAAACAACTACTCAAATAATAATTACATGCAGCAGCCTTTCAGTTACTCCTGAAGCACAGGAGGAAAATGGCAATCATGTTAATTTTCCTTTGATGAGAACAAGACCTCCACATCCTCAGAAAGTGCAGTGCACTTTTTCCAACAACAAATAAAACACATCCATTTTGTAAGACTCCTTTCACTAAAAATGATTGAAATGATACTTTAAAAAAAAAACTTGTTTGATTTCAACCGAATAGACAACCTTTGTGTGGTGCACTAACATTTTTGTGTTGATTTACTGTGAAATTGTGTTGGTTTGACGAAATTATTGTCAAAAAAGTGTTCAAATTTTCAAGCAGATATAGGCC